AGAACTCATTTGCGTATCAAAATTTGTAACACAACTTTTTGGTGAGTATTTCTCAGTATGTATATAATAAACAACAGTAGTAGCTAAACGTTTTCTAAATTTGAAATGTATTGTTAGTAGCTTGTCACTCTGGCCACTTCTCTTTGAGCCAACCCGATTTTCAGCATATTCGCAGGCGCACTGGCAAAAGTTCGTTCCCCTTCAAAGCAACACGTTTTGAAAATTCCAAAACAATTTCAAAGCTTAATTCAGAAGAACTGACTGGTAAAGAGTGTCTGCTCCGACGATTTTGTTTTTTTCCACCGGTGAGCCCCATGAAGCCCAAGGCTATGCAAACTGTCGACCTTTTTGTAGGAAGAAAGTGATAAAACAAAAATATGTCCGTTTTTAAAAAAAAAAACGGACTCATTGGTGTGGAAAAGGAACCGGAAATCGACCGAAAGTAATAAATAGACGCGATTTTTTTCTGCAAACTGGAAAAATAGGGGATACACAGGTCGATTTCGTTGATCTCACACTTACCTCAGCGAAAGGTATTTCTAAGTGATTCTAGCCATAAAAGCTCTAAATCCCCACGGAATCTAACCTGCGAACAGCAGACGCATTTCCGGTCGTCGCTTCTCTCCCTCCGAAAAATGGAAGGCTACACAGAATCAAGGAGTCCCCATCCTCGGAGACCCAGGGTCAGTCAGTCGGGCCAGGAGAAAATGCGCGACGAAAGTTTTAATACAAGCATGGGCGGAAAAGCCCCCGGGTACCGACTCTCACCTGACCATTTCCAAACGGTCAAGCGAATGCTGGCTCCTGATTGGGCACAAAAAATGCTTTGTATTATTGTGCTCAATTGGCGAACAGCATTTCCTAAATTCTTTTCGCGAGTTCGTACACGACGGCTATTATCTCGCCACATTTGCCCGGTTCGTTCACCAAGCTTTCCTAATCAGAAACGAAGGAACTATCTATACCGATGAGTCGAAAAACGTTTGGATGCTACCAGCAGGGGCAATTCAATTTGCAGTGAGAAAATTCTGTTTCTGACGGATCACAATGTATCGTAAGTAATAGGTAGGCTTTTGTACATTATGCTTTTGCTTCCCCACTAAAATGCTCCGCCTTAATGCTCCATTTTTCCCACTAAAATGCTCGGTCTCCCCAAAAAAGTCACTAAAATGCTCGGATAATGCTCATTATACAAACGGTTTTTCAAGTCAATTTCAAGGTTTACACTGACAAAAACGTGCAAGTGTTGCAAGTAACAACGACAACGTGTACAAGTTCATAAATACAGCCAAAAAAAACCCAGCTGTATTAGGTTTTTTGTGAATTTTGAGTTTTAGTCTTCATTTTGTTGAAAAAAGCAGGAGCTCATGAGGCATGGGCTCCTGAAAAAAGTTAATTTCTATTTTATTTTCTTGGAAAAATTAATTTTCCGGGGAAAATGCCACTAAAATGCTCGAATAATGCTCAATGCTTTTGCCTCACTAAAATGCTCGAAAAAATGCTAGCATAATGTACAAAAGCCTAGTAATAGGATGTTTAAGATGCAGCGGAGACGAGAAAAAAATAGCTTGAGAAGGGAAAACAACGACTTTGCACGTGCAGCATCACGCGTTTTTGTACATTCCTTTGCCGTCACCGCACGACTACCACGTGAAAATGCCTAATATCACGTTTTGTGAGGGACTTAAACAAGCAATGACAAAATTTTCTCTCTCTTTATGAACTTGGATATGGTTGACAGAGATTCAGCTCCAGAAGGGTTCGCTTGCATTTGACATGCAAAGTAAGCGAGTTGGAATAATCACGATAAAGACTGAAAAAATGTGAATTCACTTTTCATGGGGTGTCTAGAAAACGACGACCTAGAAAACGAAGACTTACGACCTAGAAAACGACGACCTAGAAAACAACGACCTAGAAAACGACGACCTAGAAAACAACGACCTAGAAAACGACGACCTAGAAAACAACGACCTAGAAAACGACGACCTAGAAAACAACGACCTAGAAAACGACGACCTAGAAAACGACGACCTAGAAAACGACGACAGGGATGGGGTAGCTCGAAGGATTTAAGGGGTTAGAGGGGTACAGAAGGCGGGAAATAAGAGGACGATAGGAGGGAATTATGAAGGGGTGAGAGGTGGGCGAAGAAGGAAAATTACAGAAAAATAGTAAATATTATTTGTACCGGCTAAGGGTATGAAGCCAAGGAATAAAACGGTGGAAATGGAAATGCAAGGTACGCGAGGTCTCCCCTCTGTTTCGTTTACTAAAGAAGCGTTGCCTGTTTGTTATTGGATAGATTTATTTGATGACAAGAATTGAATTAGCTTATTGTGTTTCAAACCAGTTTTTCAGTAGAATCGAAGTGAGAAAGAAAATAATTTACAGTCTGTCTATAAATCCACTAACCTGAAGAATCTGTTAAAAGAATTTGCTAACCTGTAAAGTGCGATTGTTGTAACGACCCGCCACAGAAGTAAGTTAACATTGAAGTTTTCTGAATTTAGCTACGAGATTAAGACGATTTGTGTTTGTTCTGATTGCGAATTATAAACGTATTTCTTTTAGATCGAATAATTATTAAAGCTTGGTGGTCATTGGAGCTAACCAGTTCCTAAGGAAACACCCTCCCCATCTAGAACTGGCTGGGAAGGTGGACAATAAAGTGTTTATGATTAAAAGTATATCGGGTTAGTTTCATAAGCGATCCCGGAGTGTGTTAATAAAAAGAGGTTTGGGGAACGAAGTATTTCTAAAAGTCAAAATTTGGGAAATTTTCACGTTTAGGCGGCGATGCTCGATTGATTTATTGATTAACGTAAACCTTCGTTACATGTGCCGGGCGAGATACCTACACCTATTGTTCTTGCGTTGTTTTTCATAACGCGGTTTATAAAACCGTCTCTCGCATTTTTAAACAGCAGTTACAGAGTGCCTAGTGTCTTCGTAGGAGCTATTATTTTGTCTTGGACATTGCATTGTGCATTGCGTGAAAGTGATGGAAGAATTAAAGATGAACCGAAGTGAAATTTTTAATTTTGCTCTGCGGCGTTTTCTCTATTTCACATGATGTAATAATTTATTTCTGAACAATTCAAAAGTTCTACCGCAGATCTCACTGCATATATACCACGCTATCGGACCTGTGAGGAAACAGAAACTCCTAGGATGATACGATCCAAATCTTACAGTTCAAATACAGTTCAAATCTGATGACATGTCAACCTTCCTTGTGTCCCACATAATATTTCACAATTCTCGTTACCGGTATGCTGCCGTTTCATGTATGGAAAGGTACGAGAAAATGTTGAAGCCCTTCTTTCTTTATTTTCAAAATATAAACTGTTTGTTTACGGTATTGAGCTGTGAACACAAAAACGGCACGCCTGATTTATTTCCTGTTTGATTTATGTGGGCTTGAACTTCCCGCTATAAACGACGCGCCAGTGAAGCAGTGTATATTATTTAGGTCATTTAGATTGGATGGAAATTTGTTTAAATTGATATCAGGATAATAAATAGGTCAAAGCAAAGCTTTTGCTTCCAGTAGTCAGTCAGGTTGAATCATGACTTCATTGACCATACTAAAGGAAAATTTGACTTGAGAAACTTTTTCAGTGGAGCTCTCACGCGCGCGCAAAGGGAGCACAATTGGTAACAAATTTGGTTACCTTTGCATGGGCGCCATTCCATTCAGTCAAAACGTCTGGTTTAAATTTTCGGCAACTTCCATGTAGTACCGAATGGAACAGCATTTTCGCAATATACACCCAAATTTTCGAAAATTATCATCGGGAAGAGTTTCTTTCCGCATTCAAATTTACTCCCGAATGTCTAACTGGTTGAATGGTTCGCATTTCGGAAACGTTTCCGGAAGTCTGGGAACTTTTCCGGGAAAATGCTGTACCAATTGCCGCTGTTTCCAAAGTTTCTTAAGTTTTGGGTGAATGAAAAGCGCCCAAAATGCATCCAAGAAATTTTGGTTTTGAGAGAATCGTCTGCACGTACTACGATGTGCAAAAAAGTGTGCTGCACGTGCAAATTAGACCTATTGACCTTAGCATTACTTATAACCAGCCCAGGGTAACTGGCGGCTATGAGCGATTTGCGTGAGTGTTTGGCACGTTTGATAAGATTACACTGAGATTTGCTATGAATATGCTATTTTGGTTTTGTCCGGGGATGGGGCATTTCGCACACTTCTACTAAGCCCCCGCCACCCGCGGTTTTTTTTTAGGTCTTCGTTTTCTAGGTCGTTGTTTTCTAGGTCGTCGTTTTCTAGGTCGTCGTTTTCTAGGTCGTCGTTTTCTAGATCGTAGTTTTCTAGGTCGTCGTTTTCTAGGTCGTCGTTTTCTAGGTCGTTGTTTTCTAGGTCGTCGTTTTCTAGGTCGTAGGTCTTCGTTCGGTCTTCTGACGATTCCATACAAATCCTTCTAAATTTGGCTTGGTTCATAAGATTAGGAACCAGGTAAGATTTAGAAGGATTTGTATGGAGTCATCGGAGCATATCTGGGCTAATATCTCAGAGACAATTTGCCCCAAATTGCTAATTTTTGGCGAGTAGGCGTCTTGGACGTTGTTCTTTCAGAATAGCTTAACAAATCCCATAATTTCACAAATTTCATTTTCTATGACGTCACACTTCGGTACTCTATACAAAGCATTTTTTGTGCCCAATCAGGAGCCAACATTCGCTTGATCGTTTGGAAATGGTCCGGTGAGAGTCGGTAACTCAGGGGCTTTTCCGCCTGTGCTTGAAAACTTTCGTCGCGCCTTTTCTCCCGCCTGACTGACCGCCCCTGGGTCTCCGAGGATGAGGAGTACCTGGCATTCATTCACTCCTTCCTTTACAGGCATTCTATGTTAATCCCGCTCGATTTGCTCTGACGAAGGGACCGCGCTCCAGACGTCAGTTTCCGATTCTCCAACTCAGTTGATAAAACCATAATTTTTTTTACTCCTTCATTGACACAAAACCAGTTTCTGTAGAAACTAACCTCTTTATACCCTTTATTCATTTATAGCAAAACACATGTTAACAGCCAACTTACAATATCTTCTGCTTGAAAATATAGAATATATATTAAATATCAGTGCTCTGATTGTACAGAAATTTAATTCCTTTGCCGTTCTTCATCTTCCAAGGAAACTACTGGAAAGCTGCTATTCAAAGCCGATTGCGTTTTACAGGCTTTTCTTTGCTTTAGTCGCTTGACCTCTTCGACTGGGTTTTATACGCGACACGACTAATAACAGGAAGCTACAGCAATCACGACGGCAACGGTAACGAGAGCGTCCAAAAAAATTAGATTAGCAAAACAACAACAGCAGCAGGCTTGTTTCTAAATCTCTTTGTCGTCATTGCGCGGCTGCCACATGAAACTTCCCCGTTTCACGTTTTCTGGAGGACGTGAACAGAAAATAAAGAACATCTTTTTCTTTTTGCTGACTTCAATACAGTCCCTTAGAATTCGAACCCCGAAAAATTCGCAAACATTAAAAAATTGCAACAACAAGGAATAAGGGCAATAAAGTTTGAAACAGCGCGAATTCACACAGTTTAAGTAACGCTTTGCCGGCAGCCGTCGTCGCGGTGGTTGCTTAAGCTACGTAATACCTCAGTCACTCAAGGTGACAATCGTTAATTAACAATTAAAATATTGCCTATTATTACTGACCTGCAGTAATTATACGGTACAAGAGTTGTTTCGAGCAACAATTAACGGGTAAATTCCTATACAGAGCTCATCCTATTGGGATCTATACTATCAATATGTAAGGTTATCTGCGTCTGCAGACCCAATCTTAAGTGGGATTACTGTATGATCAGAAACTGAGCTGAGTACTTTCCTAAATTACTGTGTAATCACGCTGCAAAAGATGAAAGCTTGTATTTCATTACTATGCACGTATGTGTATTGGATGACCTTGTTACTCGTACTAAAAAAAAAAACTAGAAAAGAATGAAGAATCCTGTTTTAGGTCTACTAGGAGGAAAGAAAAAAAACTAGAAAGGAAGGAAGAATCCTGATTTAGGTCTACCAGGAGGACCGTTGAAGCTGGAGAGGCTTTCTCTCCTTCTCAATGAAATCTATTAAAATGTAGACAACTTACGTAATTTAAACATTTCGCGCATTTCTAAATCCGTTCGGCTCTGAATTTAACCACTCATGAAAACAGGGGGCGAGAGGCATTTTACAGGAGCGTCAAAATGAAACTTAAACAGCAAGCTAATCCCTTTGGCAAAAAAGAAAACAAAGAACAAACCAAACAGTATAAAACGACTGATAATATACTGCTTAATTTTAAGTTTGTTGACTATCTTGACGCCTGTTGAAATCCATGTATTAGTTTGGTTTACGAAACAATATTTCTTCAGAAGCTCAGAGTTTCTTTCTATACTATCCATCACCATGTATTTAAATATTTGTTTCTGTCTTTGTTATTTGGCCAAAAGGCTATTTTACAGTTCAGTTTGAATCAGTGTAAGTCATGAGGTTATTCTCACAATTAACGTTTCAGTGTTTGTTCTGCAAATGTTCCCATATCAGGCGTTTCGTTGATATCCGGCCATAATGAAAAACGCTGAATACAACTTTATGATGAAAAGTGCTGTACAACATGTCATGGCAGCGCAATTCTATTCCAGCAGAACTCTACTTTTGGACAGTCTTGACGGGATCTTTGACATGATTCAAGTTTATAGCCTGGTATGAAGTGTACTGTCGTTCGCGGCGTTGAGACACTGTGTGTTGCCCGAGATAGGTTCACTTTACCGTTGGTATACTGTGTGTAGAGTGAGTGCTGGCTGCTGCCAACAACAATGGTATGTCACTGTTATCCACACTACAAAAGGACAAAAAAAACCCTGATTACTAACATTATCATACATTGTAGTCACTTTCTGTCTTCTCATTGGATAAGAGCCTACAGTTAACTTTGGAAATCAGCACAATCTACTTATTAGTTATTTGCAAGCAGATAACTGACTCTATTGTGTACGTTGCGCGCGCAATGTAAGAGCAATGTCAAACTGTGTTCTGTGCAATGGTGTATTTGTCGTTAGTTTCTTCAAAACAATGTATAAAAAAATTATTACATTAGGTTTTTTGCGATATCCGGAATAATTAAGGTCGAGGTAAGTGTATGCAGACACGGCTTCAAGTTTGGCTGATAACACTTAACCCGACCTTGATTATTCCGAATAATGTATCACAAAAACCTCATCCAATAATTTTTTTAATACTGTACTGGGATATCAATGCAAACACCGTCATTCAAAAAGAGTTAAAAAGAAAATGGAGAGGAATTTCTAGAGCAGAGTAAACATCATACGTACAATACTCACCCGAGCATTTTAGTGACTTCATCGCGAGTCAAGGCCCTTCTTCGATCTCTCAATCTTTCTGTTATAACCTAACAAGCAAGTATATGTCAACATTAATAATTTAGCTATGATCCCAAGTGTAAGCCAAACACTAAATAATTAGCGTTACTTTCCTGAGGTGCTGTCAAAATACTGCAAACGTTGGTTCTAGCTATTGAGTCGCTTGACTATTGAAATGAAAGCTACTGTGCAGTACCATTTAGCACCATTTCTTGTCATCGAAAGTTTTACATAGTCAGCGGTTATTTTGCTCACTGCTTGCAATCTGTGTATCAAAAGCATTAATACATGCCGGAACGATATTCCCCTACCTTGCTTTTCAGGTTGATTTCTTTCAGTTTATCTTCCAGGTGCATTAAACACTACAAGAGATAAAATATGAAACAAAAACATTCAATAGAATGCCATGGTACCACTATCCTGATAAAGTTTAACAAACAACTAGCAGAGATTAACACTATGCTATTAGCACCCTGATTATATCACACAGTGGACACGTAATGATTACAAGCCAAACACAACCACTCCTAGTCATATTTTCGTCTGAAGTGACATCCTTGATACAACAGTGGTAAAAGTGTTCAAATTATATTTAAAAACATCCCTCAAAGTATACAACGTTATTCTAACCTGTTAATTTTAGAAAAGTGAGAGGGTAAGTTTCAAAAGGACGGCAGGTATGGCAGGGTATCCATCCTTTCTCTTCAACCAGTCATTTATGTCCTGGCCTCCCACACAGGCGAAACGCCTGCGTTGGAGGCTATTTATGTCCAGGATTGGACGAAAATGCAAAATTTACAAGTACAAATACAAGTGGCCAAAAAAGAAATTACCCCACAAATCCTAAATACTAAGGTAATAGCAATACGCAAAAGTTCTGCCAAACGGTTTTGATTTGAATGTTAACACTATAGGATGTCGTCGGCAGATTTAAAAGTTATAGTGACATACTGTCTCCTTATAACATAGTTTTAGAGTGAGAGGATTAAAGTATGCTTGAAATAGCTGTTCAGCTGAAAACTTACAAACTCAGCAGACATTTTCATATCCCAGAGACCCTTCAGGGATGACAACATGGAATAAACTAAATTGGACACTTCAACTTGGTGTACATAAACAGGATCACTGGAGAAAAAAAAGGGAGATCAGCAAATTAAAATTAACTATTCCCGCAAAATTAATGCACATATTATCAGACATATAAGTTGGAACAAGGAGAATTCTAATGCCAGAAAGTTCAGAAAAAAAATCCCAGCTCCATGTGAGAATGAAACTCACGACCCTCTGAGTTCTAGTTCGGATACTCTAACCACTGAGCAACTGGAGGCTCTATGGCGAGCAGGGTCAAAATTGAATTAAAGCTACATCGGTCATAGAGCACTGTGTGGTGGAACATTGAACACCAAGCGTCATATACATGTACAAAATGATAATGATATGAATATGTTCGAAAATTGTCGTTTATACTTACAATGTAAGTTATAACTATGAGAGTTTTAACATCATCCTTGTCTGGGGAATAGAACAACTTATACACTTGTAGGCCAGCTAAGGTCTAAGAAGAATCTTATTGTTTTTAAAAATATTATCTTTTTTTCCATTGGCACATTCTGGTTTTTTATTGGTCTGTCTGTTTACCTGTTTGAATGCTTCCTGTGTTTCTTTACAGAGACAACCTTGCAAGTCCTAAGTGATGGAAATTAAAATAATTACCTTTGTTATTATTGACCCAAACTGAATAAAAACAGGGCTGTGTTCTAGCAGTGCACCCTTGCTCCAGATGACTAACATTTGCCCGTGGGCATCACGCAAATCTTGTTTTTGCACAGAGAATTTTTTGGGGGGTGCCCTGGATTTCATAGGTTTAGAGCATGGTATCGAAAAATGGGAATTGGCCTCTTAGTAAAATAAATTGTAATATTGGAAAGGTATTATCAATAATGTTGGGTTAATGTTAACAACTCACCATTTGTCAGTGTTGGCAATGATACACACAGCCTCTGATATCGGATCATCAACAACTGAATGCTGTAAAATATAATCACAACAGACACTAACTGTTATTATCAAATAGTGTCAATTCTCAGGTGACCATCTGCATATAAGAAGTCTTATTACATGCAGATGGTCACCTAAGAAATGACACTATTTGAACCACATTTCAACCACAATGTCTAATCTACTGCAACATTACTTTACTGAATTACCATATTTATTCGAATAAGCGCCCAACCTTGAATTAGCACCGGCCTCGAATAACCGCCCATCCTAAAGGCAGAAAAGTTAATAAGCGCCCACCCCCTCCTCCTCCCAATCAAACTCAAATAAGCGCTCAACCCCACCCCTCCCACTTGAGTGAATGAATTCTAATAAGAGACTTCCCCAAGGATGGAGTTTTATTTAGAGTATTTTACAGAAACCTTGCTTTGTTACTTCTTCGCGTTTTGTTACTAGCATTTATTGCTTTGTTGCAAAATAAACATACTTCACTTGCTGAAAATGGTGAAAATTTAATAAGTGCCAACCTTGAATATGCGCCCACCTCAAAAAAGCCCCCACTCTCAAGGTCCAAAAATTTAATAAGCACCCAGGGCGGTTAAACAAATA